TTTATCGATCTCCTTCTCCACTTCCTGTGCAGACTTCCAATTGTCTGCCGCTTTTGGCTCTTCCACTTTTTCATCATCCATATCCATGTTTTTAATATCAAATTGAGCAGATGTCATTTCTTCTGCCAATTTCGCCTCCTCAACTTTGCCAACTCCTTTCATATCCATGTTTTGAATCTCATACAGCTCTTGCTCAGCCGCTTTTTGCTCTGCAAGCACTTCGGCCCAGTCCCTCAACTTAAACTTGCTTTCGTCTCTCTTTCCCTTTGAACTAAAAAAAAAAAAATGACTATGCTGAATTCTTTCATAACTTTAAATTGTAACAGTCACATATTGATTTTAAAGGATTATTTCTTTGTTTATTGACCGCTTCGCTTACCAATGAAAAAATATGAAAAAAATCAACATATTTTTTTATTTCATTAATAAATACAAGGAACTAAAACAAAACGTAACACACAAGTTCTAAGTTGGAATTTTATTCCTTTTTATATGCCAAAAACATTTAATTTACCATCAGTTTACTATCCTAAATTATCTCGGGCAAATGAAAAAAGTTAAATATTAGTCTTTGTATATGTTCACATCTTCATAATCTGAAAAAATCATCTGTATTACTTTCACTTTCACTCGTGAACGCCATTTTTTTACTTTTTTCTACGTAAATTCATCAATTATCGTATAACACAATTGTACAAAACACGTCTGCAGTCCCACAAATAGCTAAACTCCCAATCAAAAATTGGCAAACTTCCCATCACAGCAGATTATTATTATTTTTTTGTTTTGCAACATGATAAAACAAATAAAAACGAATAAAAACGTGATAAAACAAAACGTATTGATGAATTCCGCTATGCCCGAGTTTACTCGGGATAATAAATATTTACAATGTACACGTACCCGAGTTTACTCGGGATAATAAATATTTACAATGTATACATACCCGAGTTTACTCGGGATAATAAATATTAACAATGTATACATGCCCGAGTTAACTCGGGATAATAAATATTTACAATGTGCATATGCCCGAGTTTACTCGGGATAATAAATATTTACAATGTACACATACCCGAGTGTACTCGGGATAATAAATATTTACAATGTACACATACCCCAGTTTACTCGGGGTAATAAATATTTACAATGTACACATACCCGAGTTAACTCGGGATAATAAATATTTACAATGTATACATACCCGAGTTTACTCGGGATAATAAATATTTACAATGTATACATACCCGAGTTTACTCGAGATAACAAATATTTACAATGTATACATACCCGAGTTTACTCGGGATAATAAATATTTACAATGTATACCTACCCGAGTTAACTCGGGATAATCAGGGAAACTGTTGAAAAATTTTACATTAAGAAGATGCAAGTATTTTTATTTCAATATACATTATTTTACAATTATAAAATAATCAAATATACATTACTTACAGCTTTTTACGAATGTATCTAAACAGCTTTGACATTTTTTTTTTCAAAATAAATTCTTTTCACAAGAAATTCAACCAACTTTCTCAAGAGTGCAAGAATGAATGACACTTTTTAATTATTAAAAATAAACTTTTAATCTTTTCATGCAGTGTTGCGACGGTAACAACAATTGCACTAACATTGTTGCAGATTGAGTACAACGTATGCTATTATTTTTCTCTAGGGGCATTTTTTTAACAACAGAGCACTCCGCGTTTGTTGCGACAAAGGTTTCAGATTACAGTTGTTAAGCTTTATATTACTATTGAATGCATTTTTTCGGGTTTTCTGCGACAAAGTTCCTTAACACTGATATATTTTGCTTTAACATACTTTTAATTATAACAATTACTAATTTAAACTAACAGAAACGTTGTGTTTACGAAAGAAAATATAGAATAAAAAATTTTAATTGTAAAAGTATTATTTTTTTAGTTCTAATATTATGGGCAATATTCTTGCGTTTTGTAGGCGGAAAATGCACTCATTATTTCCTCTTTCGAATTTTGTAAATTATTGCACAAATAAAAATTCGTAAATAAATTACATTAATAAATTAAAATTCGTACATAAATTAAAAATCATAAAATCTGTGCAGCAACTCCCAAAATAAAGATCCCGAATTTTTCAAGAAAAAAAAGTGACAGAAAGAACAACATTTCTAGAGCGAACTATCTTTTAAACTTTCGCGATTTCTGAATTTTTTATTGTATATTATTCATTTGAAATTGAAGCCAATCATTACCGATTTTTATTTAAAATCTCAAATGTGAATAGAGAAATCACGATTCTATCTTTCCTCTTTGATGCGCAAGAAAGACATATTTGAAAAAAAATTCGACAGAAGGAAAAAAAAAGAAAAACATTTTTCAAAAAATTTTGCAAAAAAGGAAAACTCTTCCCTTCCCAAACCAAAAATCTTTCTACGAAAAATTTGCAATGTTCTGCGACAATGTCGCCGTGTCGCCGCAATTCTGCCACGGAGCCATTGATTTGTTCTAACAAAAAGATTCACCTCTCTGTTAGAAATTATTATTTTTTTTTGTACTAATTCAATACTGATTCAGTTCATTTTTTTTTTAAATAAAATATTACTCTGCACCAATTCAATAAAACATTAGCCACAAATATACATACATTTTATTCACTAAAGAATATAAAATATAGAATTTGATTTTCAAATAGGAGAAACTAATTCCGTGAAGAAAAAAATCAAAAACAAAATGAAATAAAATACTTTTTTGAAATATTTTTTTTCTTTTTTGTTTTCGATGAAAAAATCAATACTTTTTCTCTAATCAAGATGTTTGTAACAGTTCCAAATGATTTCTTAGCAAATGCTTCGTAGGGCTTATATATATATATATACCGAGT